AGACAGCCATGGTGCGCGAGCCATGCACAAACTAGCGAGAGGAAAACTGCTAGCCACATTGTTGCCACAGCTACCCCATTTGGGGTAGATCTACCCCTTTGTAAAACAATTTAACCCTGCTATCTTGTAATAATCTACCCCGATGAAAAATAAGCTTGTGGCAACACTAGGTAACGATCTGTGTCATACGCGACTAAGAAAGTCACTATAATAAACTTGATATTGTACCAATCTAGTGTGCTAGGAAGTAAATTTTCATGCATATTTTCGTCGATAGGTTTGTAGCTTCTGAATAACGATCTAAATAAAGTATCTAGCTCATTTGCTAGCACAGAATTAGAATTTAGAGTTAGTAACTTGCATTTTCATTGGAGGACACTGTCATATTTATTTCAAACCAATAATCAACGAGAATATTCATATAATTTAATAAAATTTACTGTAAATCGCTATAAATAATGAATTGTTTATAATTGAACTGTAATTTCTGTATTGTAAATCCGGTAAGTGATGGAGAAAAACAATTGTGATTGATTAAAATTTTATTTTAAGATGAAACTTTTGTTAACAACTTTCAGAGAATTCGAATAATGAATTGAATAATGACAAGACAAGTGACATCTGTCTAAAAAACATAGCGATTCAGAGTGATAATTTTGTTATGTAAAATTTAGAGTGACAATTCTGATTATCCAAAAGAAATACGTATTCTATGAGTTTGCCTAACGATTAACATTAATTTAAAAATAAATTCCCAACATGAATAATGAACAAAACATTTAAACAAAAACAGACCACAGACCACACAGAACAAATTGTTGGTTAGTAGCAGTTAGTAGTAGTTAGAGATATAGAAGTAGTAGTATTTTGGCTTAACGCCACAGCTGCCAGGCTATCCGGCCGAGTAATAGAATTATCGTTTTTTGAAAAAATTTAAAAAAACATTATAACATTATAAAACTAGGTATACGGTTTTTAACTCTAATTTTTTTGAAGTTTATAAAAAGCATTCATAAAAAAATATATATATCCTTCAAATCCTTCAATTTAATAGCTGTTAGTAAGATATTTATTTCACTTCAAATATGCACACATAAAATGTCTTCCTCAAAAAAATAGTAGGTATAGTAAATCTAATGGAGTCATTATGTTTCTAAATTGAGGTGATTGAGAACGAGGAATCCAACTGTTTATCGGTTCCAGACCATTCCAGATTGCCATATTATTCTTGTCAAATATGCGGAATTAATTCAACATTCGTCTTCAGCAAATAAAAACAGCAACAAAAATATTTCATTTCTCACAAACTCATCGGAGGTCAGCGTATAATTTAATTTTAATTTAAAAAAATTGTACTCTCGGCTTCCTTCCTGATTTAAACTACATTCTATTCATATTGTGAAAGGTTTTCCCATGGCGTCGCAAAATAAATGTTTGCCGGCTCGCGCTGTCGAATGAATATTTTTACATTTTTAACAATGATGAGCTGCCACTGACTGGCGGCAACCGCGTTGTTGTTTTTATGAAGTAGAAAGTTTTGTATACAATTTGCATTTTCAATTTAATAGCGGTGGCCATCTTGATGGCGAAAATATAGAACGTCCTCCAGCTCTGCGCCAGCCGCTTTTTAAGAAGTTAAATTGGAAATATTGCTACAGGAAATAAAGTTTTCCACTTTGAAATGTCGTCCTTTGGGCCGTATAGAGGGAAATATTTTTTGCCTGATTGATTTGAAAAGAGTATAATAGAAGAGAAATTCAAAATGAAATAAATATTTGATGTAAAATAAGTTTAAAGTTAGAAAAAATTAACTAAAAAGTAAAAAAAAATATTGCGACTTGGAGCTCTAATTTCAGAATTATGTTTTCTTTCCTTTCGGATATCTATATCTTTGACCGGTCAACACATATCGGAACAGCTACTGCCGAATTAATAAGATATCCGGATTACAGGAGTAATATTTTTACAAGGTTACTAGTTGAAGCCTGGGGCATCTGCCACGACATCAGGAAAAAAATACTTTTTATTTTTGTTTAATTAAATGAAAAACAAAAAATCCGGCGACGACAGTTTTTAGAAGAGCCAATTAGCTATCTTTTAGTAAAAAAAGCAACTTTCTAGAGCAAGTCCTTACGTCAGTAGAGACGACACAGATAAACATTAGCATTTCATATATGTAGATTATTTCATACTTTTAATTGTTTCTAACCTAAACTCAAAATTTAAATACATTTTTATTTAAAACAAATCGCAAAATATTTTATAAAACACATTAAAATTTTATTGTACTTGCATGTACCTATATGCACCCATAAAATAAGTCACTTACTACTTACTCAATACATACATTAAAGACTTAATGCAAAGACATAAATTAAAGAGATAAAAATGTAAAGTAATGTGACTTTTTAAAAAAATTAACGGATTTTTAATGACCAAAAACAATTGAAACTGACGTATTCAATTGTTTTTGGCCACTTCCTGTTTCACCGGAAATGCCTACAACTTTTGATTTTTAAATGGTACCTACCCTCGGTGTTTTTTTTACTTTATTCGTTAGAAAATGACACTCTGAATAGAATGACATATCATACAGTTCTTCTTCTTTCTTCTCAAACTCTCCTTTTCAGGAGAGAGTTGCGTTGCCTAGGCTGCCAGGACCATTCTGGGAAAGTACTTTTCTGCTTTTCTTTTTCTGGGTGGTCACGTTTTATGAACCTTTACCGATTTATCTTTCTTAACGACTAACAATTATTGAGGCTATTAAACAGGTTGCTTTAAGCTCTGCAACTAATCAGTTATGCAGGCATTCTACGAGTAGCAGCTCTAAGTCCCAATAATTACTGTTCATTTCAAGAAAATGTGATTATGACATTTCAAATTTGCGGCTATTTTTTTTTCTTGATAAAGTTAATGTTAGGCTTTTTATTAGTAAATATTTAGAGTTTTAAATTACTAACATGCAAAAACAAAGCCATTTGTTTTATGTGTTCTGTCTGGTTGAATTTGAAAAGGATGTCATGCAGGGAAATCGGTTTTTGCTCTATCTCATTGTCGAAAGAGGAATATAAGATTTTTTGGTGATTATAATTATGTGGACAAGCAATTATCAAATGAAAGACATCAGCAACCTCTCCACACTGACACAAATTGTCTCTATTAATTTTGATTTTATAGAGATGTGACGGGGATAAGCAGTGGTTTGATCTGAGTCGACACATGGTGGTTATTTGTTGCTTTGTCAAGAATTTATATTGTTTGAACCATGGAGTCCTATATGGCTGCTGAACTGTAGTGCAATATTCTTTCCCTTTCGTTCTACCAATCGCTACAAATCTTTCCATTTATTGTATATGAATTCTTTCATTTTTGGTATAAAGGTTTTATAATCTGCTTTGGGTGTTAGTGTGGGCGGTAAGAGCCGTCCAGCGTTGGCCAACTTGTCTGCTTTCTCATTTCCATGAATGTTGGTATGACTTGGTATCCATTCTAATTGTACGTCCCTTTTGTTTATTAATTTCTTTCTTGTGACCAGTGTTAGTTCGTCCGTTTCAGCGTCTATTCCAGTTTTCCTTTGTTTAGGGCACTTGATGAACCAGAGAACATAACTGTCTTGGCGATGTCATATTGTTCTATTTTAAGTAGGGCAATGTATATAGCATAAACTAACAGTTCATACCAAATAAACTTTTAGTCACGTGATTAAGCTTGATCGGCACAGCGTTGCCCACTTTTATATATTTTCTTTTAATCAAAATATTTTAGGAAACAAAAATAAATTAATTATTAATATATAAACAGTTATTATTTGCATCAACAAAACTCACCTTGTGAACAGCACTTAAGGGGCATAAAGGGCCATTACTACCGCTTTCCCGTTCAAAATTTTCTAATAAAGTTGGGACGTGTTTTTTACGATTATTTTACGAATTAGCTATCTTGTGCACTTCGCACTTTAAGGTCTGCTAATAAACATTTTTAAGCTTAAAATATCACAACACTATTTATTTAAACCAAAAACTCGTAATACAAAACTAAAGTGTCAAAAAAATGACAATGTCAGGAAATAAATAAATAAATGCGGCAACTTCACATCTTTTACAGCAATAACTACCACCTGAATCCCCATAGCGAAATTTAAATTGCAGTTAGTCAGCCGCGGCGTCGAAATATGTACATGGGTGGCAACAATGAATTTAAAAATCGGTCCCCCGATTACGTAACTAAAAGTTTAATTGATATCAAATAGATTATGTAAACTATTAACATTATTGCTTAAAAAAATCATATTTTAAATTTCAATCTAGAGTGACATGGCCGTGTTAAAAACACTAATATTTAATCAAGGAGCCTTGGAAAAATAGATTTGATCTTCTAATGTTTTTCGTGTCTCGTCCTGGCCGGTTAAGATGTCTAAATCGTATTTTTAATAATATCTTATTTCTTCAAATGGAACAAGACTGACTCGTTAGCCTATTTGGAAAAAGAATTTTTTTTCGTATAATTTGGTAGTCAAAATGTCGTTATGAAGCGCATACTAGAATTTCAAACAAACCATATGAGAAAATGTCAAAAGTTGACATATGATATGTCATTCTATTCAGACTGTCATTCCCTATCGAATAAAGTAAAAAAATACCGAGGGTATCATTTAAAAATCAAAAGTTGTGGTCATTTCCGGTGATAGAGGAAGTGACCAAAAACAAAACAGAATAAGCCAGTCAAGCCTAATTTTTGTCATATACTACCCAGTGACCATTTTATTCCATTAAAGGAAATGTGTCCTAGGTGACGTGGATAATCTCTGTATATAATATACTGTCATATAAATCTCGTTTTTTATCTAAAAAATAAAATGTTATAGGGTGAGCCGATTTGGGACGCACCCGGTATAGTTGCAAGGAGCAGGATCAGCAACTATGACAAATAAATATTTTTTGACAGATCATAATGGATGTATCAAATGTATCAAACACACTAACATTTTATTTTTGTTTCAGTTTCAACAACTACAAAAGATGATGGAAAACCTGGGACTACATCACCAGAACTAAAAGGAAAGAGACCCAAAACAAAACCAACATCTCCTAATAGACAAGGACCTCAACAATGCCAAGTAAGATACATTTCTGGCTAATATAATTTTTCGAACAATGTATTGTAAGCTAAGTAATACATAACCATTCTTTATTGAAAGCACAGCTTATTCAGTTACCAGCTGGTTATCTACGCTTGTTTTTGAGTGCCTGCGTTTCTTCTCGTATACATGCTAACAGTCAGAGAACCATTTCAATGGAGCTCAGAACCCGAAATGTACCGAGGTCTTTGATATAATACCACTGTTAAACTCCTTTAGATTTATCAAATAAATATTGTAATTTTATTTGTATTGTTTTGTTACAGGTCTGTTCGAAAGTGTTTGGAAATGCGTCAGCTCTTGCTAAACATAAGTTGACACATAGTGACGAACGTAAATACGTTTGCAACGTGTGCAATAAGGCGTTCAAAAGACAAGATCATCTGTAAGTAACATTATTTCACTTTCATTGCATAGATATTATTTAACGTTGTACAAAAAATCAAATGCCTGCAAAGAAAAATAGGCCATTATTTCGAATTGGATGTGCGGTTCTTTGTATTAGGCAATTATAGCTCAAATACCGCTGTAACCTTTTCGAATCTATTGTGGTCCTCTTCTAATCTTTATGTAAGAATGTAACCTAGAGATGAGAATAAACCTGAAAAGGTTTACCCTTCGGCTTTAAGGTGGGTTCATATACTGAATTGCGAAATGCGTTTCTTTACGTAGTTCATGTAATAACAAAATTCACAATTAATTCTAGTGATATTTGTCTTTTTAAACACATGTTGAAAATGTCACTTGACAGGTTTATTTTTATAAGTATATTTTTGTATAATGGGACGAAGGCTACATTTTTGGCGTAGAAGAAAATCTATTGCTGTATATTTAATAATAAAAAACAACAAAAATAAAATACATAGGATAGTTGGAACATGTGAAATATTTAAAAAGTGAAAACAACAAGGAGAATATCACAATTTAGTGTGATAAATGAGAATTAACGATGAAAAAAATTAGAAAATACCATAGAATGTCTATAAAGGATTTCGACTCTCAATGGTTTTGAAAATTTTCCGACATTACCAGTTTACAGTCAAACCATTCAACTTCGTACTGCAAATTAAAAAAAAATGAAATTAGTAAAAAAATAAGTACCTAATAATGCAAAATTTCTTCATACCTTTTCAGTTTCTTTCATCTTAACCAATGTTTATATTATTATAATCATAACAAGAAATAAATAACAGGAGATAACATATTATTATAACGAAAAAAACTTAAAATTCGCAGCGAATAAAATTAAATCAAATATCATCAAAAAATAAAACCAAATCAAACATAATCATACAAAAATTAAAATCAATATTCCCGCCCCCGGATTTTAAAATATGCGAATTTGATAAATATTAAAACAACTTTCTGTCAATTTTGCCGCCTCTGTATTTTTTTGAAATTGACCAATAACAACAATATTCGCAATTCGTATTTCACAATTCGCGTGTATATGATCTTCACCCTTTTAAAGAAAATCTAGCAACTTGGAGACTGGGCCTCCATATAAGAGCGGGGTTCAAACAAATATAACAGGCTAACAAATATTGCTACATCAAGGTATTTAGAGTATGGTAGGTCAATCTAGACACTACTTGAAGTACTGTGGTCGCAGTGACGCGACGCCTAGCACATGACCAAACATATCACACATTTGCCTTCAATGTAGTATGTTTCTAAACTAACTATATTAAATTTAGAATATGAACTCCTCTTTATACCATGTATATATTTTTATTGATGATAATGGAAATCGATATTTATATGTAAATAATATACAGGGTGGTCCTAACTGTATTCCGGAAACTTTGGCAGCATATTCTACATATAAAAATAATTAAAAAAGTTCGTGTCCTAAAATAAATTATGATGATTAGTCCTATAATAAATCTATGTCCTGAAATGCTTAGTTTCGGAGATACAGGGTGTAGAAATTTTATTTTTATTTCGATTTTTTCCAAATAATTTTTGTAGTAACGTCAATATTTGGATGAAAATTGGTGTCTGGGAGTTTTTTGATATGAGAAATTTGATTTTGATGTCAATATGACTCCTGTTTGTAGGGGGCGCCATCTACATGTGTTTTAACTGTTTTGAAGAGTAATAACTTTTCGTCCGTACCTGTATAAAATTTCTGAGTAAAAAAATAAACATTTATGATGATTTTTATGTAAAAAGTGTCTCTTAGTAAAAATCGCTACGAATAACGGTTCTTGAGATATTTGGAATTATCAATTTCAAAATTATCAATACCTGTCATGATTGGCATAAATTAAAAATGTAAACTAAATAGTTAATAGCTTGAAAACATAAATTTGAAATGTTTTATATCAAAAGTTCAACAGAAATTGTTTTTGTCAATAATGACATGTATTGACTATTGCCATTCGAAATAACTTGAGAACGATTACTCGTAGCGATTTTTACCAAGAGACATTTTTTACATCATAAAAAGTCACAAAAATCTATATTTTTTGACTCAGCACTTTTATGCAGGTACGGACAAAAAATTACTACTCTTCAAAACAGTTTGGTTTGGTTAGGTTGGTTAAAATATATGTCGGTGGCGCCCTGATATTAAAATCAAATTTCTCATGTCAAAAAACTTCCAGACACTAATTTTCATCCAAATATTAGCGTTACTTCAGAAATTATTTGGAAAAAATCGAAATAAAAATGAAACTTCTACACCCTGTATCTCTGAAACTAGACATTTTAGGATATACATTTATGCGAACTTTTTTACTTATTTTTATCTGCAGAGTATGCTGCCGAAGTTTCCGGAATACTGTTCAGACTACCCTGTATATAAACATGGTAGTTTTACCAATTGTATGTAAGCCTACTGAAATGTGTTTTGATTTTGTTTTTATTTCTCTCTATCTTAACATAATAATAAGTAATGTCCTGATGATTTTTTATTTCTTCAGATAAAATAACGAGATTTGGTATGTTACTATATGACATAAATTAGGATTGATTGACGTATTCAATTGTTTTTGGTCACTTCCTGTTTCGCCCGAAATTACTACAACTTTTGATTTTTAAGTAGCACCGTCGGTATTTTTTTTACTTTATTCGATAGAAAATGACATTCTGAATAGAATGACATGACATGACATATATCAATTTTTGACATTCTCATGAGAGTGTCATGGCTATGTTAAAAACACAAATTCTTAATCAAGGAGCCTTGGAAAAATAGAATTAATCTTCTAATGTTTTTAGTGTCTTGTACTGGCCGGTTAAAAAATACCCAAATCGTATTTTTAATCATATCTCATCGTTTTCAAATAGGGTGGCTCTTTCGCATATTTAGAAAAAGCATTTTTTTACGAATAATTTGATACCAGACACTTGGTATTTCCAGTCAAATTTTTGTTAAGAACCGCGTTATAATTTCAAATAAACCATACGCGAAAATGTCAAAAGTTGACAAATGATATGTCATTCTATTCAGAGTGTTATGTTCTATCGAATAAAATAAAATATACGTGGGTACCATTTAAAAATCAAAAGTTGTAGTCATTTCCGGTGAAACAGGAAGTGACCAAAAACAATTGAATACGCCAATCAATCCTAATTTATGTCATATACTAACATACAAAATCTCGTTTTTTTAACAGAAAAAATAAAAAAGTTATAGGGGAGAGTCACTTTTGAGACGCACCCGGTATTTCATTTTAGATCTAGAACAGTAGAAATAAAATTATTTTTATTTTTTGTTTCAAAACACTCAGCTCATTTCCACTAAAGCATTCTTTTACATTTAGGGAATAGATGTAGCTTTCTCCATATATTAATTAGTTTCTAAGAAAGCTGTTTACATTGGAACGAAGAACAGCAGCTTGGCTGTTTCTCCGCTACTTACATCACGTTCCGCAACTGGAAGGACTTATAGTTGTTTGTTCGAAGGCTAACACGTGTCTCTAGCATTTTATATTGTGTTTGTTTTCGTTATATATCTCGAAACACAGCATCGTCTAAGAAATCGATTGAGGGATCGTTATTTTCAAAGGGCTTTGCATAGGTGTATGTAAATCAGAGTGAAATATACTGGAGCGGAAATAAATAAATCCACAAATCCGGTTTTTGTATGAACGTGTGTCTATTTCTAGCAATACGTAATATACGAAATGTCAGGCGTATTTTATGGCATTAGCATTACCATATTCTCGTAGTATACAGGGTATTTCAAAAAACATGTGCCATCTCTCGTGGGGAGATTCCTCCGCTACAGAAGGGTAAAGTCGTATTTTTTTTCGATTTATTAATATTTTCTGCCAAATGCTTTTAGTGATGTGAATAAAATTTTGAGGGTAAAAGTTACTGTTAAGTGTTTCATATTTTAATGCTAGAAAAGTGTTGACAGATTTACTAGCGACGTGCATATGGGTAATCACTGCATTATTTTTTCTAAAAAAAACATGTACGCCACTAACTTTTTCCTCTGACTAGCACGGTTGTGTAGGCCATTTAACGCCGATTAAAACTTGTGTTTTGATATTGTGTCGATTTCAGTCTCCATAATGAGATAAACACAATTTTATTAATTTATCTTAATTCAAGTCTAATAGCAATCTTTTAGAAATTTTAGTGTCATTAACTGGGGGGGGGGGCGCAAAGTGATAAGTATTCATTGATTCCTCATCAATTATTTTATAAAAATTTTAATAAAATTTAATAATAAAATACATTAAATAAATAATTTATTAATTTTATTTTTACTTTAATTTTATTAATTCATATATTAGTCACGTGCATCTACAAATGTGTCTCTCATGAAGGAAGTAGGTAAAATATCAAGATAGAATTTTTAATCGGCAATAAACATGGTAATAAGAGAAAAAGAAAGTCAGTGGCGCACATGTTTTTTTAGAAAAATATTCCAGTGACAACCCATATGCATGTCCCTGGTGAATCTGTAGACTCTTTTTTAGTACTAAAATATGTAACACTTATTGTAAATTTTACCCTCAAAATTTCATTTCAATCGCTAAAAACACTTTAGAAAACTAAAAAAATCCGAAAAAATGTGTAAGTCTTGAACCCCCCGTAGCTACAAAACAATCTTTTACGCCAGGAATCTCCCCACGAGAGATGGCACATGATTGGCCACAATACCCTGTATAAATTTAATACTAAAAAAATCTAGAAAAATATTGTTTACTAATAAAAAATTGACTGCAGAGTGCAATACAGCGAGAGTGTTGTATGCTGGTCTCGGTCTTGGCCATTTAAAAAAAATATATTACTTTATTATGTATATTCTTACAGTGTTATTATACCTAATATTGTTAAAAATTTGTTAAAAACAGAAAAAAAAAGACATTAGGGTGAAATGATTAATTGATAAATAAACATCAAGTCAAATTCTGAACAACTTTTCTCTTTCACTTTTTTGGCTATTTTAGTCCATCATGATTTATCATTGGATATTTGAGGTACATTATGATTAATAACATGATATTATGATTAATAATAAAATTGAACATGCTGAAGAAAATCTATAGAAACAGTTTTTTTAATAACTAAAATATAACATTTTTCCATTTGTTGCTAATTTTTTGACACGACCTGTACATTTTTATTTTAAGGGAATTAACATAAACTCCATAAAAACCTATTTTAACGTTAATTAGTGACAATAAAAACACACAAAAAAGGATAATAATAATTTTAAACTAAAAATTATATTTTTAATAAGGGGGTTTCCTTTGAATTTCTTTGTTAAAGTTGATCGAATCGTCTTACATAAATCTAGGTACCTACACTAGTGGTTAATAAATACTTAATATTTTATTTTAATAATTCAAATCTAATATAATATTGTCGCAGTATGTTTTATTTTCGAACATATTTTTTTCCGAGTTGTTTTCATCAAAAAAATGCCTCCCCTCATCAGCCTGCCGCCCCGCCCTAGGCGCAGCTGCCTATCTTGCCTAATGGATAAAGCGTCCCTGCTCATCGCTAGTATATTCTGTATTGCTGTCGCTTATTTTTCGTTGTAGATTTTTAAACAGTATACAGTGTATGTTGTTTTATATTTTAGAAACGGTCACATGCTGACCCACCGCAACAAGAAACCGTACGAATGCAAGGCGGACGGCTGCGGCAAGAGCTACTGCGATGCGCGGTCGCTGCGCCGCCACACCGAGAACCACCACGTCTCCCCGGCCGCCGCCAGCAGCTCCACCACCACCATGTCGCCGGCGCAGGGGGCGGCGACGGGGGACGCGGCGTCCCCCCACGGTTCCAGCTGCATACAGTACGCGCCGCCACCAAGCGGGTCCCCCACGCTCAAAGAGAGCGGCGGTAACAAAGATGGCAAGAGTCAGTTGCAGCAGTTACTATCCACCGAACCTGCCAAGGTAGGGGAGGGTTTTTTAGAGGGGAAATTACCCTGAATAAAATTCACTATAATTACAATCTGATCAATAAGTAATTGTTTTCTAATCTAAAAACTAATACCTAAATAACTTATACAAAGGACTTACTCACTAGAGTTCCTTATGTTTTACTATTAACTTAATTACACTAATATTAATGCATACACAAGCACTATTTGCTTTTTCACTAAAGCTTCATTCAGAACCTCGCAATTAATGGAATAAATTAGTGGTTTCAAGTACACTTTATACTTTTTAGTTTACGATTTTTCACAATGTCTAAAAAACATAATTAAAATTAATAGAATATCCCAGCAACAGATTACAGATTACAGGATTGCTTGTTAGTCAGTTGTATCCATAGAGAAAGTCTAATATTTAGCTTATACAACAATTAACTTTTGGTTTCTAACAACATTTTCTCTTGACGGATGATAATCAAAGGCCAAAATGACATTTCTCGCTAATTTTGAAGTATAATTAGTGGAAAAGTCAAAAGTTTCTTAACTTTTTCCACTAATTTAAAATTCCTAATCTTGACGTTCTGAATGCTTCCATTCAAATTAGAGAAACAAACTTCTACGCTAATTGAAACCACTAATTTATTCTACTAACTGCGAGGTTCTGAATGAAGCATTATACTTTATACTTTTTAGTTTACGATAATTTAAAATATTTTAGCTTCATTCAGAACATCGCAATTAGTGGAATAAATTAGTGGTTTCATTTACACTTTATACTTTTTTACGATCATTCACAATGTTTAAAAAACATAATTAAAATTAATAGAATATCCTAGCAACAGCTTGCTAGGATTGCCTGTTAGTCACTTGTATCCATAAAGAAAATCTAATATGTAGCTTATAAAACAATAAACTTTTGATTTCTAACCACAATTTTTCTTGACGGAAGATAATCAAAGGCCAAAATGACATTTCTCGCAAATTTTGAAGCATGATTAGTGGAAAAGTTAAAAGTTTGATAACTTTTTCTACCAATTGAAAATGTCTACCACTAATTTTGACGTTCTGAATGCTTACCTTGAAATTAAAGGAACAAACTTCTATGCTAACTGAAACCACTAATATATTCCACTAATTACGAGGTTCTGAATGTAGCTTTACACATATTAATTAGTTCCAAGGGTTTGATCCGTTTAGCTTGATTTTTATGCATCCAATTAAAAAACTTCTAATATGATTTCTAATAACCGAGCTCACAACAATTGTTCACTTAGTAACATAAATGTATTGCAAGCTTGTTAATAAAACTTTTTTTAGAATCCTATATTTTTTGCGCTTTGTATTTTATTCAAATTAGCCAAATTGACTTTTTTCTGCCCCAGAAAGAGACTAGCGCGTCAAATGCAAATTCAGGCTGTTTTAAAAATACCCTCGAATTTGTCTGGTCCTCAGAAGTTAACATTTTCTTCAAGGGAAATATATATGCCGGTAAATCTTTCCCGGTGAAAAACCTAGTGATTTGTTTAGCTTAGGATAAAAGAACACAGGGCGTGCCAGCACGCTCTTTTTCTTCTAATCCTAATAATAATGTTCTGAAATGGTTAAACTGCAGAGGTCACGAGTATAGTAATGCAAAAACAACGGACAGAATTATAATGCAACATTTATTGTTTTTTTTACATTTTACATTTCCTACAATATAATAACATATTTGATGATTAAAAATTAGCGATTTTTTTAAGCGAAAATGTCAAAAGTTGACATATGATAGGTATGTCATTCTATTCACAGTGTCATTTACTAGCGAATAAAGTAAAAAAATACCGATGTTGCCAATTAAAAATCAAAGCTTGTAGTCATTTCCGGTGACACAGGAAGTGACCAAAATCAAATGAATACGTCAATCAATCCCAATTTATGTCATATATTAATTTACCAAGAGAACATAGTCTTAGAGGATGGAAGTGTGATAAAAAAACTGTGACAAATCTAAATATTTTGGATTAAAAATAACTAACGATGGAAAACTCGATGAGGATATAAAATATCGAATAATGCAAGGCAAGAGGGCAATATCTATGTTGAATGGTGTACTGTGGGATCAAGGAATCTCTAAAGCTAATAAGAAGAACATATATAATACGGTAGTGAAAAGCATAATAACTTACGGAAGCGAAGTATGGCAGTTGAAAAGCAGAACAGAGAACATGCTATTAGCGACCGAAATGGATTACTGGAGGAGATCTGCTGGAAAATCGAAAAGAGAACAAATAACCAACGACAGAGTAAGAGAGATTATGGGAGCAGAACACACAATTGTGGACGACATAAGAACAAAACAACTCATATGGTTTGATCATGTGCAACGAATGCCCGATGACAGAATACCAAAACAAATTTTACTGTGGACATCTCGAGGCAGAAATAAAAAAGGAAGGACGCGACGAAGCTGGAGGGAGGGTGTGGATAGAGAACTAGAAAATAGAGAAATACCTGATGATCTCTGGCTAAATAGAGAAGAGTGGAGGTTATGTGTCTGAAAACGTCGTAGAACGTTCTGAACCGACTTATATATTGTTAGAAATAAATGGTACGAGCCGCTGCCAGTCACGGAGGTATCAACTAATTTCAGGTGGATAATAAGGTTGATTGTTGGAGATTCGTTATTTTGAACATGTTGTGAATTTGGCAGTCAAGATGACAGAAGACATTCTCCGTGCTCGGATGGACAAGCCGTTCGCATGAGGAAGATAAGTATTATAGTTTTGTGTGTTTCCGTATTTTGAATAAAATATTATGTATAAAATATCCCGGTTGTTATCATTAGAAGTGAGGTAGAGCCTAGTGCCATATAAGTGGATTGTGTGACGTATATTCTGAGATAATGGAAAAAGAACAAAGTCAAAGTGGTGAGGGAAGTGCAATTAATTTTTTAGCAGAACTAGTAAAAGTGTTGGGGTAAGTCAAACTGAACAAATAAGTAAGAAATTAGGTATGACGGAAGTTTTGACTAGAATTGACAGATTTTATTGAATGATGCTAAAATGTGGTTTGATTGTTGGGATCCTGATATTAGAAACTGAGCAAATTTTTGTAAAGATTTTATTGAGTCGTGCCCGCCAAAATGTAATCTAGAGCGATTATTAGAGGATACTTCAAAGTTTAATAGCATTGGTTCAAATACTTACGAGACATTTGTTCACGAAAAATCAGCAATGGTGAAAAACTTGCGAGCACGTTCTGAAGTGGATGTACGAAATACAGTGAGGAATGCTAATTTTAAAAGAATATCTGAGATTTTAATATTTTTGTTGTCTTTTACAAAAACTCCACGTAATCGAGAACATCCGAACAGCAATAGACAATCTGTGGGTGTAAAGAGAACTTATTTTGATGTAAAAAAGTGATTTAGCCGATAAGAAATGCCATAATTGTGGAAATATCATAAATGTGGAACATTGTGTTCCCACATGTCCGGTTAATAAAAAACGACTTTCACAAAGCACAGTTATGCAACATTCTAAGCCAGATGATTTGCCAAGTAGTTTGCGTCCAAGTGAAACATGTTTGTTTTGTGCGAAACGTGGTCACAATGCAACAAACTGTTTTACTAAAGCTGTTATTGAAAGGCGACGAAGTATAAATTATTGTGGTATGAAAAATAGGCCTTCAGGTGCAACTGAAATATTCATAGATGGTCACGAATTTTGTGCATTAATTGATACTGGAGCTGACTTTTCTCTGATTTCTGAAAAAATTTTAAATCTTTTTGAAAACAAAGTGAGCTCATGTGATGTACGCAAAGGTATAGCTAACTCCACCATTAGTGCTTCAAAAAAAAAATATTATTGGACAAACAAATGATGTGGACACTGTGATTGCATATCATTTTGTGCCGGATTATTTTCTTGACTGTGATGTATTTATAGGTCGTAATCTTTATAATGATCAAACATTGCTGACTGTTACTGATTATCAAGGTTCGCGAGTGTTACGTCGTGAATTACCTGGATCAAATTGTTTTGCTTAACATAATGAAGCAAACGTGTGCGGATTAGTGTCAAATGAATATCGGATTGAGCTGGAGCAAAATCAACTAGTATGACTCCTCCGCAATTTTTACTTGGAATTCAGAATTCCACCCCGTTTATTCAGGCTTTGTTAAAGAATGTTTCGAGTGATATGCACCCAATTAGAAACCGAAAGAGTGTTGCTGACAAATTGTATAAAAATATCACCAATTTAGAAGATGTCAATCGAAAACGAAGGAATAATGTTCAGTATGCTCATGGAAACTTTGTTCTAATTTATCAAGATTCACAGATGCATATTGGTAAAGGCGACTATGAGTTTTTGGGACCATACAAGGTGGTGAAATGTTTGTTGTTTCTAATGAACTCAGACTATGACCTACATTGATCCTTATCTTGTGACATGAGGAAGGTACTGGATTTCTTAGAAAGTCATAATAACAAAGAATTTAGGTGAGTGAAAAGGCATGTTATGATCGGCCTGTGTCCTGTCATAGGTTCAGCCGAGTATCTGACTGTGGTCTGCACGATTCACAAATGCAATTGTGTAAATGTAGTTAAATGTTGTTTATTTTTGATGGTCTATGTCCCATGAGTGGTACAGCCAGGTGTCTGACTGCGGTCTGCACGATTTACAAATGCAGTTTTGCGAATGTAGTCAAATGTTGTTTATTTTTGATGGTCTGTGTCCCGTTAGTGGTACAGCCAGGTGTTTGACTGGGGTCTGCACGATTTACAATGCAGTTTTGTGAATATAGTTAAATGTTGTTTATCGTTGACGGTTTGTGTCCCGTTAGAGGTACAGCCGAGTGTTTGACTGCGGTCTACATGATTTACAGAGTTTGTTAAATATTTTATTGTTGACGGTCTGTGTCCCGTTAGTGGAACAGCCGCGTATTTGACTGTGGTCTACAGGATTTCCAGAGTTTTGACGGTCTGTCTCCTGTTAGAGGTACAGCCGGGTGTTTGACTGAGGTCTAAAAGATTT